ATTAAGACGATAGCAATGATGAACAATAATGTATGAAACAAATCAATCTTAGTTACATTGGATTAAGGGAAAAAAAAAAAAAAAATCTTCTTATCGGATGAATAAAAAAAAATTTAAAGAAAAGAATTTAAGACCAAAAAATATACAAAGAAAAAAATAAAAACTTAGGAAAAAAAGCAGCAGAAAAAAAAAAACAATCCAATAGGCAAGACGAATAAAGTTGAGAAGTAAAAGAGTGGATAAGAAAAATAAATGAATAAATAAAATAAGTCAAAAGCCCAAGAAAGACCGTGGGGGAAGCTGTGTACAGAAGGGGAGGAGAGAGGGGGAGGGAAAAAAAAGGGGGGGGGAGGGAGGGGTACAGGCGTTTAGAACGTGAACGCAAATAAGAAATGGTCTGTGGAAGGAGAGAGGGGGACTTCCAGATAAGTATGGAAGGAAAGGGAAGATGGAAGGACGGAATGGTTTCTCTCTCTCTCTCTCTCTCGCTCTTTCTCTCTCCCCTCTCTCTCTCCTTTCTCTCAGCATGTGTGTGTATTTTTTTCATTATAAGGTATGGGTAGTGTGATGTTAGAGTTTATATATGGACGTGTGTCTATGTGTGTTGCGTGTTTTATGAAATTAAAATATTCTCTACGTCACTTACATGATGAATCCCCGAAATTTTTTGTCGTATTGGTCTGAATTTCTTAGGCCTAACGTCTGCGCCTACGAAAAGTGGATTTATCTCGAGAACCACACAATGCCCACGGTGCCTATGCTTCAGCAGGAAACACTTATCATAACTCCACTTTATGTGACAGCTAGTGTGTCGCATCTTTTCTGCAAATCTTGTGGGTCTTGTCACTCTAGGCCTGTCTCTTTCTCTGTTTGTCTGTCTGCTTATATCTGCCTGTCTCTGTCACTGTTTCCTTCTCTCTCTGTTCTTTCTCGCTATTTTTTTCGTAGTTCGTTCGTTGTCATTTTCTCTCTTTCGCTTTCTAATTAGGTTCTCTTGTTCTCACTCCTTTGTTTCTGTCAGTCTTTTTGTCTGCTATTGTGTCTGTCTGTCTGTCTCTTTCTGATTCTTTCTTCAGTCTGCCTGTCTCTCCCTCCCTCTCTTTCTACTTCTCTCCCTGCCCCTCTTCCCTTCCTTCTCCCCTCCCTCTCTCTCTCTCTCTCTCTCTCTCTCTCTCTCTCTCTCTCCTCTCTCCTCCCTCTCCTCTCCTCTTCCTCCTCTCTCTCTCTCTCTCTCTCTCTCTCCCTCCCTCTCTCTACCATATACTCAAACACACACCTTCATTTTTTAACGCATATTCTCTCCCCCTTTTCCCCCCTTACAGGAGACCATATAAGTACATCATCTCTTATGTGTGTTTCTGCCCATTTCACATCTTGTAAGCACCCGCGGCGGTCCTCACCCTCAGCCTCACACTAAATCATCATTAACTTCACTCTTACTGACCTGCCGAGTTCACCCTCAGCGTCCTCCATATACTTTGGGTTGTCAGGTGATTATATCCCGGAAAAACAACAACAAAAAAAGGAAAAATAAAAAATAAGAAAAAAATAAAAAAAATAGAAATGTAGATACAGTGTCTATGCTCAGATCCTTTATCTAATTCTGCTTTATTTGTTGTATTCTGCAAGGAAAAAATGATAAAAAAATGAAAAACAGAAATGTAGATATAGTGTTTATGCTTAAATCCTTTATCTAATTTTATTTAATTTGTTGCATCTCTTCTCGTTTTGAAAGGATTAGGGTTTTGGGGATTAAACAGAATGCTAAGGGAATACAATTAATCATTATATACACGCATGAAACTAAAACTAAATCTGAAAAAAAAAATGCGTTGTAAGCCTCGTTTTTTAATATTCTTAGCCCCAGAGCTTACAATGTCATCCTCAATGTGAAACGGAGATTATCTTTTTAAAAAACAACAACTAAAACATGGAATTGCAAAGTAGCGATGAAACCTATTTGTAAATAATGCATGAATACCCAGCGATCAACCATTTTTTTTTTTTAATATTGTTCAGCGTATACATCATGAGAGAGAGGAGAGAGAGAGAGAGAGGAGAGAGAGAGAGAGAGAGAAGAGAGAGAAGAGAGAGAAGAGAGAGAAAGAAAGAAAGAAAGAAAAGAGAGAGAAAGAGAGAGAAAGAGAGAGAGAGAGAGAGAGAGAGAGAGAGAGAGAGAAGAGAGAGAGAGAAGAGAGAGAGAGAGAGAGAGAGAGAGAGAGAGAGAGAGAGAGAGAGAGAAGGAGAGAGAGAAAAAGAGAAAAGAGAGAGAGAGAGGAGAGAGAGAGAGAGAGAAGAGAGAGAGAGAGAGAGAGAGAGAGAGAGAGAGAGAGAGAGAGAGAGAGAGAGAAGAGAGAGAGAGAGAAGAGAGAGAGAGAGAGAGAGAGCGGGGGGGAGAGAGAGAGAGTTCGATTTCTTTACAATTTGAGGTCTTTTCATGCACTCGCATTAGAACAAAACGAAATGTAGAAATAACAAAAAACAAACATACAAACAAACATCGGAAAAAAGGCGACAATTTCTCGATTCATTGGATTAGATCACAATAATGATAATGATGATAAAAGTAATGATAGTAATATAATATAATGATAATCACCGACTATAGCAATGATACTAATAATATGTGATAATTGCTAAATAACATAATAGTAATGATATGATAATGATAAATTATGATGATAATAATACTAATATGTTTGAAGATAAAGAATGATAATGATAATAGTGATAAAATAATGATAATAATGATCATAAATGATGGATAATAGTAATACTCTGCAAGGAAAAATGATAAAAAATGAAATAAAAATGTAGATATAGTTTTATTGCTTAATCCTTCATCTAAATTTTATTTTAATTGTGCATCTCTTCTCGGTTTTTTGAAAAGGATAGGTTTTTTTTGGGGATTAAACAGAATGCTAAGGGGAAATACAATTAATCATTATATACACACGGTACATGAAACTAAAATAAATCTGAAAAAGAAATACGTTGTAAGCCTCGTTTTTTTTTTTTAAATATTTCTTTTTTCCCCAGAGCTTTACAATACCATCACTCAATGTGAAACGGAGATTTATCTTTTTTTTAAAAAACAACAACTACAAAACATGGGAATTGCAAAGTAGCGATGAAACCTTTTTGTAAAAATGCATGAATACCCAGCGATCCAAACCATTTTTTTCAATATTGTTCAGGTTATACATCATGAGGAGAAAGATGAGGAGAGAGACGAGAGGAGAGAGAGAGAGGAGGAGAGAGAGGAGAAGAGAGGAGGAGAGAGAGAGAGAGAGAGAGAGAGAGAGAGCGAGGAGAGAGAGAACGAGAGAGAGATGAGAGAGAGAGAGTTT